GGCGGGTTATTTGCGTGGGCGGGTTATTTGCGTGGGCGGGTTATATGGGTGAAAATACGGTAGTTTTTGTTCTAAATTCAGTGGCAATTCAAGGTTCTTTTGTTTTAGGTGCACCAGCATTAGCCATTGCTTTCAGTCACCTACATTTAAAAAAATCAAATCCTTTCTTGCTTTGTTGGTATCTGTTTGAATTTTGTTTCATTATTTTCTTTCATTCTCTATTGTTTTTGCTTAAAAAAATAGCTTCTCATTTCAACTTCATTTGCTCCCAAAAGTCATGTATTTAAAAGCCGAAACAAATAGAGGAAGAAAGAAAATATTTTAAACTAATACTGAATAGTCAAAGAAATAGGCAATAAAACTTAGTAATCATGGATTCTGCAGACAAACCTTTTCCTAAGTAGCAATTAAACTAGAACAGATTAAAAATACAATATAAGCCACTATGTAACTTATAAACATGTAAATAAAAAACTTAAGACATAGCTTTATGAAAAGTGATATCTGTTTAGAAAATGTATTTTCTTTTATATTTTTCTACTGTTATGACTAGTCCAAAATAATGTTATTAGAATTTCAGTATTTCACTTACTGACTCCGTTTTTTCATTAGTTAAATGCAATTGTTTTGTTAGCTGTTGAAAGATTGTCAATTGATCCGAGAAAGAAGATAATAGAGCATTGGAATTACAATCCAGAGGATTTATCAACATAAAAATAAATGCTAAAACCTAATATATTAAATATTTACCATATTTTTAGGACTATAAGATGCAAGATTTCGAAGAGGTAAATAAGGAAAAAAAGTTTTTGTCCTCCCTGGCCGCCAGGAGCACTCTGCAGGCTTCAGCAGGGCTGGGGGAGGGAGGAAATGTCCCAGTTTTTGTGAAAAATGGGCAATTTTTCGCAAAAATGGGGACATTTTTCCTTTCCCCCAGCCCATTTTTGCAAAAATGGGATGCGGGGGCAGGGCTTCGGGAAGCCAAAAATGGCTGATTCGGTGTTTAAAACGCACCAACATTTCCACACTCTTCGGGGGGTGGGAGGTGTGTCTTATACTCCGAAAAATACGGTAGGTATTAAATACTTAATTTAAGTAATAAAGTATAACATTATTAGTGGCTGTTGTCCAGATTTGACAGTCATCCAATTTATTTTTGAAAAAAATCATATAACAGCATAAAGCAGGAATGTCTAAAGTATTCATTTTTCTAATATTTTAGAAAATTCGTGTTTGTGTGCACATCTACATGTCTGAGACTTGACAGAAATAAATACCGAAATACTGTGGATAAAGCACAATATATTTCTGCAACAAGATTCAAAAGTTTTCAAATGAATGAAGCACACTTATTGAATAAAATATACTTCTAAATTGAATAAATTACTCACAGATAATCCTATAACAAATATTTTAAAATCCACAAGACTTCAAAATTAAGTAAGCAATTTTCTTTTCCTAAACATACATCCAGGTTTCAAACCTTTGGAAATCATTGGAGAGTCATTCCAAGGGAGCTATCATAAACTGAAAGATCATTTTTACACACAAACACAAACCATTAGACTTTTCAAATGCATCTTTTGAGCGTTATATTCCTTTCTTAAAGAGCAAATAGCACAGTGGTTAGAATGCAGTACTGCAGACTATTTCTGCTTACAGCTGGCTTCCAGGAGTTCACTTCTTACTGGCTCAAGGTTGAGGACCCAGATTGTTGGGAGCAATATGCTGACTCTATAAACTGCTTAGAAAGGGCTGTAAAGCACTGTGATGCAGTACATAAGTGCTATTGCTAAAAACAAAATGAAAAACACACCCCTCCCTCTGCCACTTCACAAATAGTCTGAAAAGTTCAACTCTGTTCTCTGGTATTACATCTCTTTCTCCTCTCCCCCGCCCCCTCTATTTTGTACACCACTTATCTAAGTGGTCCACTCCATTATTTGCCCAAAGACCATTAAAAAACTCTTTTATGAAAAAGCTGGCTATCTTGAACTAATGGGGAAAAGTTCTATTTATCTTAATTTATTTTAATGCACATGTATCAGTATGTTACGTTTTGCTTCTGCCTTTCCACAATATGAATTTGTGCTTCTGTCATGTGTTCCTGGTATATCTGTTGAAGTCGCTCCAATTCCCGTGAAACCATCTGCCAAAGTTCTAGGACATGTTCTTTTTCCTTAAAATTGAAAGATTGAAAAAAGAATGTTAGAATTTTTCTTTCCAATTGTTTTTGAGTATCAAATTTCTGAAAATAATTATTACTTCATATCTATTATAAAATACAATTTTAACATCATTTTATGATGATAAATATTTGTTCCCTATATAATTAATTTATATTATAAATAAAAGCACAATTACCTGAAATTATGAGCATGTTTGTGCCTATTGATGAGAAAATAGCCTGCAAAAATTAGTGTGTTCTTCCTTTCTTGTCATTTAGATATTCAAAATTTCTATTTAATATCAGTTTATATCTATGTCTTGACATTAAAAATAAACATTAATATTAAAATCATGAACTACAATTCTCAGCTATAACAAAAATGTTTCATAAATGAGTGTGCCTAAATTGAAAGGCAATTTAGGACTATTGGAACCTAGACGTAAAAGTCAACCAAAGCAAATATTTCAATTTTCTTACTTTATTTGCTAGTTGCAACTGTTCTTGAAGGTTTCTTACTAAGTTTTCATCCATAAATGTAGCATCCCTTGAAACAGAACCAGATGGCAGAGCTTCCAACTGCTTTTCAATTGCTTCTTTTAACTCCTCATGCAATCTGTGTTACCATACAATAAGAGGTGGATCGGTTGTAAAACAGCAACAAAATTATATTTTTATAAAGAATGGTTCTTCTATCAGACAGTTAACATTGTAACACCAGAAAAAATATTTTAATTATTCATAAAATAATAATCACATTATTTCCATCAACCCCCAGTCCCAGTGTATCTGTATTTATTTTACGGTAAGGGTTAGACAAAATACACTATCATTTCAATCAGTTTCTTGCTATATGACACAAACAATACAGAAAGACCGTTGGCTTACCTGCGAGGAGAGTCCAAGCGTGGGTTAACACAGCCTATCTGCCCTTGGACTGTGATGTTTTTTCTTGACCACGCTTCCCTTTGCCTCTCCATGTTCAGTTTAAAAACGAAAGGACAACAGTCAGGTAAATGTCCACAGTCAATAATACAGACACAGAATGTCAGAAAAATACCCCGGGTGGGTTTGGACTCTCCTTGCAGTGCCCCGAGAACGACCGTTCAGGTAAGCCAATGGTCTTTCTCCAGTGCACTGCTTGGAGAGTCCAAGCGCGGGACATGCCCAAGCTATTGAGTCCCAGGGTGGGGAAGAACCGGATCCTCTGGAATTTCAGCTACTCTTTGTAATATTCTTCTTCCGAAGGAGGCTTCGGCTGAGGCAAAGGTGTCAATTTTATAGTTTTTAATGAAGGTGGTGGGGGAAGCTCATTTGACTGCCCTGCAAATGTCCAGAATAGATGCTTGGGTCGCCCAGGCTGCTGAAGCTGCCGCGCTTCTAGTAGAATGTGCGGTGACGGCACGGAGCCATCTTGCCCTAATGCTCATATGCTAGTTTAATGCAAGCGCGAAGCCAACGACCCACAGTGTGCGATGAGACCTTGCGGCCGAGGGACCCATGAAGGAGATGAAAAATGCCTCCGAACGATGAAATTCCTTAGTTCTCTTTACATAAATACGGATGGCATGCCTCACGTCCAACTTATGCCATTCACACTCCCTGGGATGAGAAGGCTTAGGGCAAAAGTTAGGCTTGTGACATATGGAACTGAGAGTTAATTTTTGGGGTAAATGAGGGGTCGAGTCTCAGTATAACCCTGTCGGGATGGACCACGCACAAGTCCTCCCTGACAGAAAGAGCCGCCATTTCGGATACCCTGCGTGCAGAAGTGATAGCCACAAGAAAGGCAGTTTTGATAGTTAGGTGGCGTAGACTAGCTGTGCGTAGAGGTTCAAATGGAGGACCCGTCAGAGCCTTTAATACAAATGGGAGGTCCCAGGAAGGATACCAGTGGACCATCGGAGGACTGATGTTTGCTGCGCCCTTGAGAAAACTCTTAATCTGAGGGTGTTGACTCAGAGAACGAGAGGATCCCCTGGCTAGGATGGTAGACAGCGCTGCAACCTGACGTCTAAGTGTACTGGTTCCAGGCCTTTATCTCGACCCTCCTGCAGAAAGTCCAGGGTCTGAGGTATCAAGGCTGAAAAGTCCACAATGCCTCTAGCCTTGCATCACGCTGAGAAGGCAGCCCAGGTGGCATCGTAGATTCTGGTAGTGGAGGGCCTCCTGGACACTTGAATCATTCGTATGACCTTGTCAGAGATGTTCTGCTTCCTCAGGAGTTCCCCCTCAAGTGCCAGACGCCTAGTTGCAGTCACTGGGGGTCTGGATGACTGATGGCCCCTTGGCTGAGGGAGACTTGGTCCTGAGGAATTCGCCATGGTCTCTGAACGGAAAGACTGACAAGGTCTGCGTACCAGGGCCTCCTGGGCCAGAAGGGAGCCACCAGGAGAAGTTCTGCTCATTCGGTCAGGAGTTTGGTCACCACCTGAGGGGTGCAATATGCTGACTCTCTGTAAACCGCTTAGAGAGGCCTGAAAGGCCTATGAAGCGGTATATAAGTCT